AACAACTCATCCACATGGGAGCTTAATGTGGATTTGAAGAGGTATGTGACTTGATTTCGGAGGGTGTTGCCCACATGACACCTTCCTCATCCAACTGGCAATATGCAGTTTTTCCAACAGTAAACTCGGATTGTCCTGATCCAGGGAAAATCGGAAAAGGGGAAGTAAATCCAATATAAAATTGCTTGTTACCTGAGCGTGGATACACTGGAGCTCATTGTGTGGACAGGTTCTGGTGATGTTTTGGTGGTGCAATTTGTCACCACACACCCTTACTTCCATTTTGTTTCCATCAGCCTCTTCTATCATAAGAGATATCGTACAAAACAGCTGCATTCAAAATTAAAGTAAACCTTGCCTTTGCAGGTACAGGAGGTAGAGAATGAAAAGGGGCGGGGGAGGATGTGAGTGACTCCAAATCCTTGTGGGTCTTGGAGCAACACACATTAATCTTAGCATACTGCAGTTTTGTGCAAATCTGAAATGCTTGTGGGGGGGATAAAAGGTGTGTGCCTGAGCAGGTAAACAAATATGCACGCCCAAAGACCTCAGGGGTTGTATTCAACTATTGTTTACTCAGAGTAGACCCATTATAACCCATTATACTTAAAGTTAATCATGGTCATTCATTTCAATGGATCTACTCTGAGTAAAACTTAGTTGACTACAGCTTGGACCAACACACACACATTTTTAAAATTAATATTTTACTGCTGTTTTGTGCAAATCTGCTGTATCAGACAGTGTGTGTGTGTGACAGAGAGAGAGAGAGAGAGAGAGAGAGAGAGAGAGAGAGAGAGAGAGTTTCTGCCCAGATAAACAAATACTGCGCAAATGCTGACCTCAGGTTTCTAGTGGTTGGGCAAATACTATTTTTAAAAAAATGAAACAAAATATATTTTAATGAAAGATTTCTTATGTGCATTGTCACTTTTTCAAGTTGTGTTTTCTACAGATCAGTTTCATTTGTTGTGAGACATTAGTGTTGCATGCAGTATTTGTTAAGTTGTGGGCGAACATAGCAGACGACACAGCGATTCTTCAAACAGCTCTTCTTTATTCAGATGTCAGAACAGAACTAAGCTGAGGGGCTCAGTCAGCCTGCTTATATAGAGCTCCAGGACAATTGTAACTGTTGCCATTTTCTAAAACTATCCAATCACTGAACGTCACTTTTTGATCCTTCATTTGCATACAAAACTATCCAATCACTGAACGTCACTTTTTGATCCTCCATTTGCATAACTATCTACAGTATCCCCCTGCTGGCCCAGGGTGAGAACTTCAGTACATAACACCCCTCCCCACCGAGATAAGGCATTAGTTACAATCGTAATGGTTTCCTTATATACAGCACTACACGCAATGGTTCAATTAGGCACAAAAGCATATCGGTTACATTTCACATACTTAGACCAACAGTGATACATGTCCAACAACATAGTGCTTTAAATAAGTTGGGCGCTTGGAAACTCTGACAGACCGCCGGGGACTGGTAGCCAAGTTCGTGGGGCCACACAATTCTTGCTGAGGCTGTGGTGCGACCCAAGGTGGCGTCGAAACCAAATCCCCTGGATCCGCTGCTGTGAGTGAAGCCTCCGCAAGTGGAGTGGTCTGAGCCTGTGGTAAGTCTGGCAGACCCTCTGAAGTGGCTTGGTTTGGCTCCACGCTGGCAGTTTGCGAGGGAGGTGTAGGTGAAGCCTCACCATCTGTAAGTGTCTCTTCCAGAGCCACGAGCACAGTTGGGGGCACCACGGTAGTGTCCAAGTCCCCAACCCTGCGCCTAAGCTGGTCTATGTGCTGGCGCCACAAGCGTCCATCTTCGAGTGCCACCTGGTACGAGCGAAGTCCAGTGACTCCTACTACTGTGGCTGGCACCCAAGGAATGTCCCCCACATAGTTCCGGGCAAAGACCTGGTTTCTTGGAACAAATGACCGTGGCGCGTTGGCACAGCCTGGGTGCAGCCGGTCGAGCGGTGACCTGAGGCGGCAGCCCATAAGCAGTTCAGCAGGACTCCGCCCTGTGGCCGCATGAGGGGTGATGTGTTGCACGAACAAGTATTCGGTGACCCACTCGTGCCAGTCTCCCCGGTCCAGGCGCGCCAGTGCCTCTTTTGCCGAGCGCACCATTCTCTCCGCTTGCCCGTTGCTGGATGGATGAAATGGTGCTGTTAGGGCATGGCGGATGTCCAGTCCCAAAAGATACTGCTCAAAAGTGCCTGACGTGAACTGCGGTCCGTTGTCGGAGACAAGGACATCAGGACACCCATGTGTCGGAAAGAGGCCTCGCAGCACCCGGATGACGGCCTCGGTAGTGGTGGAGGGCCACCTCCAGCCATTTGGAATAGGCGTCCACCACTACCATAAAGGTCCGGCCATGAAAGGGGCCGGCCAGATAGATGTGCACCCTCGACCAGGGTGTCTTGGGCGTCTCCCAGGTGTGTCCCTTAGCTGCTGGTGGAACAGGCCTCGATTCTTGGCACGCTTGACAGCCGGACACCCAGGCAGTGATGGCATCGTCCATGTTAGGCCACCAGACGTAACACCGAGCCAACGCCTTCATTTTGACGATTCCCGGGTGGCCAACGTGCAGAGCCTCCAGGACGCGTTCACGGAGTCTTTGGGGAATCACGACGCGGTCTCCCCACAGCAGACAGCTGCGATGAGCCGAGAGTTCATGTTGTCTGGTTGCGAACGTTTGGAACTCCGATGCAAAAGGCCCTTGTGGCCACTCCCTCCACACCCAGTTGAGCACACGGCTGATGGTGCGATCCTGGACAGATGCGGAGGCCACAGTGGCAGCCGATACAGGCGCTGCCGGAAGATCCTCAATCAGGAGGAGCGATGAAGCTGGAGCCAGGTCTTCCACAAACGCTGGAAGAGGGCAACGGCTGAGGGCGTCGGCATGGCCCATCGATTTTCCCAGGCGATGGACGAGCCGGTAGTGGTAGGCAGCCAGGAAAACAGTCCATCGCAGCATGCGCTGCGAAAGGACCGGTGGAGTTGGACGATCACCGGCGAGGAGGCCCAGGAGTGGCTTGTGGTCAGTGATGAGGTCAAAAGTCCTGCCATAGAGGTATTCATGGAACCTCTTCACTCCAGCCACAAGTGCCAGTGCCTCCTTGTCGAGCTGGCTGTAATTCCGTTCAGCCAGAGATAGCGTCCTGGAAAAGTAGGCGAGCGGTGCTTCTCTTCCGTCTGGAAAACGGTGACTAAGGACAGCGCCGATGCCAAAAGGTGAGGCGTCGCAAGCAAGGACCAGCGGCCTGACTTCACTGTACTGTACCAGCACACTGTCCGATGAAAGGAGAGCCTTGACCGCGCTGAAGGCCGCCATCTCCCAATGACCCCAGGACCAAGGCGTCTTTGTGCTGAGGAGTCGGTGAAGAGGCTCAGCCACCGTGGTTTTGTGGGGCAGGAACATGTTATAAAAGTTCAGCAGCCCCAGGAACGCCTGCAACTCTGTCTTGTTCTTTGGGATGGGACCTGCTGCATAGCGCGGATCTTGGATGTGGTCGGGTGAAGGCCGGAGGCGTCGATAAGATAGCCCAGGAACTCCACCTGTGGAACAGCGATCTGGCACTTCTCCCTCTTTACCTTGAGCCCAGCCTCTTGGAACCTGGTCAGCATGGCACAGAGGTGCTCGAACAGCTGCTGGTGTGAGTCTGCGGACACCAAGACGTCATCAAAATATGGTACCACATCCGGAAGCCCTTGCAGGAGACGCTCCATAAGGCTTTGGAAGATGCCAGGAGCCACACTCACCCCGAACTGCAACCGGCAGCAACGGAATGCCCCTCGGTGGGTGACGATCGTCTGGGCTTCAGCAGTGGCATCATCGACGGGCAGTTGTTGATAGGCTTGGGCAAGGTCCAGCTTAGCGAAGACCTTACCCTCACCCAGGGAATGCAGCAGGTGTTGGACAACAGGAACCGGATAAGCATGCTGCTGAAGTGCCTTGTTGATCGTGCACTTGTAGTCAGCGCAGATTCTCACCGACCCGTCTGGCTTGACAGGCGTGACGATGAGGGTTTCCCACTTGGTGTGGTCAACCGGCTCCAAAACTCCTTGGGCGATCAGCTTGTCCAGTTGTTCGTCCACCTTAGCCTTGAGAGCAAAGGGAACCCGGCGTGGCTTTAGCTTGATGGGGGCGACTTGTGGATCAAGGCTAAAGGAGATGAGTCGGCCAATCGGTGTTAAAAAAGGACAGAACTTTCTTTATGTATGCTACAACAGCAGCAAGAATTCTTATTGCAAAGTATTGGAAGACACAAGATCTACCCACCCTGGAAGAATGGCAGATGAAGCTGATGGACTATATGGAATTGGCGGAAATGACTGGCAGAATCCGAGACCAGGGAGAAGAGTCGGTGGAAGAAGATTGGAAGAAATTCAAAGATTATCTACGGAAATATTGTAAAATTAATGAATGTTAGAATGATGTTCGATAAAAACTAAGTGGTTTCTAGCTGAAATGTTATAAGGGAAGATGAAAAAAGGGTCTATTATGTAATATGTAAAAATCTAAAAGTACAATATCTCTATGATTAATGATTAGGATATTTAAAAGAGAGGAGGGAACTGCTGAACAAAATATGTGAACTGGAATACAAAAAAGGGAGGTGTGAGGAGGTCGAGGAAACAAGTAAATGAAGGATAAGCATAGAAAGGCTAATCTGTTTGTTTAACTGTTTGTTTAACTGTTTTTATTCTGTATCTTGTATTTTTCCATTTTTATATCTTTTTTCTTTTTTATTTGTTTTCTTTTTTCTTTTTTTGCTTATCTTTGTAATATGTCGAAATTTTAATAAATATCTTTTCAAAAAAAAAAAAAATAAAGGAGATGGGCGTACCTGTATATTGCCCCAAAGTGCCGTCAAAAACCTCGGCAAAGTCTTTGACCAGACCCTCAGTCTCTGCGTTAGAGATGCAGTTGATGCCGGTGACTTACAGGCCGAGGGCATCAAACCAGTCTAGCCCTAGGAGGCTTGGCCGCTGACCTTCAACCACCACCAGTTGGAGCAGGCCCGAAAAATCCTTGAAGGCGATCCGGAACCGGCCAACGCCTACCACGGGAATGTCGTTTCCCTGGTAGTCTCTCAGGTGTACGTGGTGAGAGTCGAGTTGCCTTTTGGAAACTCTGGGTACCAGTCTTTTGATGGTGCTCCAAGACACAATGGACAGGGCAGACCCGGTGTCGATCTCCATGTCACATGGAGCTCCTTCAATGAGCACCGTGACGTTCAGCTTGCGTCGCGTAGGCGAGTCGGTTTGGCCAATCATGGTTCCAGATGGGCAGCGGCAGATGGCATTTCTGAATCGACACTTGGCACGGGAATGGTTGCCGCCGCAGCCGGCACATTCCGGTTGGCCCTTGGACTTTTGTTGGAACTTCCTGCGCTCCCGCTTTGTCTGGTGCACGTCATCGTCTTCACTGGAGGATCCCTCATTACTGCTGGCCTCTTCGTGATGCACTGGAACTGGGTTCCTAGCAAGACGCAGGCTGCTGGACTTGCGGATCTCCTGGGCGGAGCGTTCAACAGCTTCTGAGGCCAGAGCCTCCTCAGTGGCTTTCTGTAGCATGAGGTCTGGCTTGGCGAGGAGACGCCGTTGCAGATGGATTTCCCAGACCCCGCAGACGATTCGATCCATCAGGGCATCGTCTAAGTCTCAGAACTCGCAGTGCATTGCAGCCTGTCGCAGGGCGGTGGTGTAGTTGTTGATTGACTCCCCCTCTGCCTGGTTCCGGTGGTAGAACGCATGGCGGGCAGCAATCTTGGACGGCTTTGGTGCGTAGCGGTTGCGGAGCTTCTCTTGGCTCGTGTCCCACGGTGTTGCCTGGACTGCTTCAGGCGCAACCAATGCTCGGGCTGTCTCAAACACCTCAGGCCCACAGAGGCTGAGGAATAGGCCCTGCTTCCGCTCCTTTGATACTTCTGTCAGCTCGTTGGCTTGGAGGTAGCAGTCGAACCGAGCGAGGTAGGAGTCCCATGATTCAGAGCCTGGCGCAAACGGCGGTAGAGGCACAAGTGAAGCCATGATTCCGATGCCGGCGAGAAGGGCGATGGATGGAACACAGTGCTCTAGCCAGAACAGTCAGCTCTGAATTGGTTCTGTTCAGTGATTTCGCTCAGTGATTCAGCTCTGCTCAGAGGGTGGCTGCATCTGGCTGTGCTCTGATGTCCATCGATCCCACCTTTGTCGCCAGTGTTAAGTTGTGGGCGAACATAGCAGACGACACAGCGATTCTTCAAACAGCTCTTCTTTATTCAGATGTCAGAACAGAACTAAGCTGAGGGGCTCAGTCAGCCTGCTTATATAGAGCTCCAGAACAATTGTAACTGTTGCCATTTTCTAAAACTATCCAATCACTGAACGTCACTTTTTGATCCTTCATTTGCAGAACTATCTACAGTATCCCCCTGCTGGCCCAGGGTGAGAACTTCAATACATAACAGTATTAGGTTAAGAAGAAAAGATGGGGAAAGAGAAGGAGGGGCAAATCACCATGTGGGGTAGGGTGGTTATGCTTCTATTCTACTACTTAGTGTATGTGTGGGGTTTTGTGTCAGCGTCACTTATATAGGTTCTCTTACTATTAGCTTGTTGTATTTCCTTAGTGGTGAGAGGTTGGGGGTGATCCAGGGTGTGGCTGGTTGTCTTTGGTTGGCTGTAGTGAGATTTTGAGGAGGGGACGACAACAGCACACAACATGAATGTATCCCATGAAGCATTGGCCCCTAGTGTGGAGAGAAAACATGGAGGTAGATTTTGGATGCATACAATTGAATTTCCTCATGTATGGGTGAAGGCACAAAAACACAGAAACAATGAGCCACATATGTGTTCATGCTGTAGTGTAGACACATCCCAAGTCAGAAGGAGCTTTTCTGAGGACAAAGCAGCTTCAGTTTGTTTCCCCTAAAAATAATGCTGTCTCTTCCCTCAAAGTATTGACAAAAAAGCATCACATTATGAAGTGAAGGAAATGGTCTGGTATTGACCAGGGAAAGTTGTTGTCGGCTAATTGCTGCTAAGCATCAAGGCTCTGTGAAAGTTGGTTAAGAAGAAGAGGGATATTCTACTATGAAATGAAGTTTTAAGATGAAGCTACACAGATATCTGGGAAACTAGGGACGTTGCTGGAGTTTTGGTACGAATAACGTTTCTTCCAAATTTCCTGGCAACCCTCCTGAAATCAACACTGCTTTTATCAATTTTGAGGGACACATTCTGATAATTTTTCTGTGGAGTGTATCCAACTAAATCATTGCACTCACAAAATGACTTCTGTGAGTGCAACAAAACTCTGGGAACCCCCAGAGCAGATGGTGGGGTGTGCAGACAGGGAGAGAGGGAGGGGAACATCAGTTGTGCATGCAGAAGTCATTTCACACATGCAATGATTTAGTTTGATGCAGCCCTATTTATTTTTATGCTGTTGAAATGTACAACACTCCTTATATCCTCTTGCTTTCCCCACTATCTTGTTCTATAACATCTGTTATCCCTTAGAATCAGTGTTCCTGCCCTTGCTAAATCAAGCCTAACTTCCACTAATCTTATTTCTTGCTGTATTTTTGCTCCAAGACCCTTTGAACATCCCTTGCTGTCTTCCTCATTACAGTAAGCTCTTGAGGTGTCAGGAAACACAGCCCTGGTGTGCAACCTCAAGTAAATACTTTTACGCTTACTGATATGTTACGTGAAACAAAACAGGTAAAAATGGAAGACCATACACAGGATTTCATAGTTTCATGTTGGGCCCAAGCATTCTGAAAATAACAATCAAATTTCCCCAAGAGCTTCCAGACATCTACAGGAAATTATTATTTAATACAGCAACAATTCTGACATTGCCATCCATGGAAGATTTTAAGAAAGGGATAGACTAGATTTTAAGCTATGGGAATTGGATAAGATGACTCCTACCAACTTCGTGATTTCATAACACCAATTTTTGCCATTGGAATATTTCTTGGTTTCCAGCTTAATTTGACCCGGGAGGCTCACCAGAACTCAGCCTTCAATCTGCTCTGGGTGCAAGGTCTTAAGAACATAAAAACAGGCTGAAGGATCAGGCCAATGGCCCATCTAATCTAGCATCCTGTTCTCGCAGTGGCCTAGCAGATACCTATGGGAAGCGTGCAAGCAGGACCTAACTAGGGTTGCCATATGTCCGGTTTTTCCTGGACACGTCCTCTTCTTCAGCGTTAAAATTTGTGTCTGGGCAGATTTTTAAAATTTGTCAAAATGTCTGGGTTTATTTGTTTGGTACCATAGTATCATAGTTTATCATTATTGACTGCAGCGGTAGCAGAACTAGCACCAATAGCAGTGGCGGTGGCAGCAGCCTCCTTGAGTGCTTGCCATGTTGGAAGGAAATGATGTCAAAGCCGCAGCCTGAGTGGCTGCAGAGGAGGAAGTGGCAGTGGCGCTGGTTGTTGCTGCTGTTTCTCCAGGTCCAGGAGGAGGCACAGCCACAGGGAGTGAACAGAAGAACAGCAACACCAGAAGTAATGCAAGTGAGGCTGAGCCAGGACTGGCGGCCAACCCCGCTCTACAGGTGTGAGAAGGGTACCAGTACAGGCACACTCTGCAAAAGGAGCAAGCAAGTGAATTCACCCCACGGCCTCTGCTGCTGGTGCTGCTACCTCAGGAAGAAAAGGCACAGAAAGGGGGTGAGGGAAGGCAGCCCCGCCCTGACTGGCTCGGAGAAGAGATCCAGGGACCCTCGCTCACTCCAGGAGACAGAAAAACATGAAAGGGAGCCGAGTTTCTCCAGAGGAAGCGTGGGAGGGGACTTGGAAGTGTGTTTTTCTTCAAGAAGTGCCCAAGAGCGAGAGAACCAGTGGCATGGGCTGAGCGGAGAGAGAGAAAGCTGACGGGAAAGAAGAAAAGTAACCCCCGGGTGGTCACCTGGGATTCCCTGCTCTTGCTTTTCAGTATCATTCCCAGCATGGAAAAAAATGAAAGCAGCTGAATGGGAGGAGGCGCAAAAGCTCTCACCTCAACAGAAACTTGGGGAAATTATACCAACAGCAGCAGCAACAACAACATCAACAACAATGACCGCTGCTACCAGTAGCTTTCCAAACTGGAGCTCCTACCTCAGCTACTCCTTGCCTCTCAGCTAGCCAAAGGTGAAAGTCTTCTGTCCCTCTTTTTCCCTCCCTCTCTCGTTCTCTCTGCCTTGCCTTAACTCTTTCTGCCACTTGGTGTCAGCGAGTCAGTCGCCCTCCAGTTCTGAGGGTTACTTTCCTCCCCACTCACCCCGCAGGAAGAATAACTGCAGATATGTCCTCTTTTTGCTCTTCAAAATATGGCAACCCTGCCTAAGCACAGCCGCACACTGTCTACATTTCCTGACCACTTGTATTCAGAATCATATTGCCTCCAACAATAACAACAGAATCTGGTTTGTTGCCACTGAAAGCCTTATCCACCATGATTTTGTCTGATCATCTTTTAAAGACATCCAGGTTGATGCTTTTTGGAGGCTGAGGAAATAACAAGAAAGTACAATAGGCCTTTGCCTCACCGTTGAACAACCACCTCGTGTCCCCAAACATCTAAAGATAAGGGAAGGATTTGCAGGTCAGATGGTAGGATGCCTGGACAGTTTATGGTCTCTCTCTTTTGAGAAGTTAGCCCTGCTAGATCTATAATTGGAACTAGAATTCCACCCAAGCTGTTGAGAATTTGTAAGCCACTCAACTTCCCCCAAGTAATTTACATGTGTAGCCACTGTAGTTATCTTTACATTTGGGAAACAAATCAATCTCAAGGGATTTGGTTTAAGCCACAGACTCAGCAAAAACACCAACCCACTATTGCACAGATTTTAAATTGGTGGAGATAGAAGCAATTTTCAGCACATGAATTATAAAAGATAGGGAGTGCTCTGCACTTCAGGGAATTTTATATGTCTTCCAGTCTTGTTCGTCTAACTTCTGGAAAGTTTAAGACAGTACAAATGACAGTGCAGTTTGATCAATGACAGAGAGGGGACATCTGGCTGGGCCAGGAAGGTGCTTAATGCCTCCTTGTGAGAGTGGGTGGTCCCTGCCTACTTGAAGGAGGTAGTGGTAAGACGACAACTCAGGAAACCCTCTGTGGATTCAGAAAATCTAAGTAACTACTGGGCTGTTGCCCATCTCCCTTTCTTGAGCAAGGTACTTGTGTGGGTAATAATGGAACAGATCCAGGCACTCATATGGGGAAAATTGATTTTCTAGATCTATTTCAATCAGGGTCTAGGCCTGGTTTGGGCATAGAAACTGCTTTGGTTGCCCTGTATGACAACCTCTCTGTTGGGAGAGAGATAGGGGAAATGTGTCGCTGTTAATTCTCCTTAACCTCTCAGTGGCTTTCAATACCACCAACCATGGTATCCTTCTGGAGAGCCTGTTAGGAGTTAGGGGTGGGTGGCACCGCTTTGCAGTGGTTCTGGTCCTACCAGAATGCAATGCTAGGGGAGTGCTCTTCGGCCCTGTGGCGACTTCGGTGTGGGGTTCCTCAGGGTTAAATGTTATCCCCTATACTATTTAGCATCTACATGAAACCTCTTGAGTAGGATTATCTGGAATTTGGAAGTACACTGTCAACAATAGGCTGATGACACACAGCTTTACTTCTCCTTTACATTTGCA